GCCCCCCGGGCCCCCCCCCGGGGGGGGGGGCCCCTGCCACTGGCCGGCGCCCCTCCAATAGGGGGGCACCACGTGGTGCCCCTGTCTTTCTCCCTGTCCCTGACCCGGGACAGGGAGAATTATGCTCAATTGTATCATAATAATCGAATGAGATATATTAATAACTATGATTACTGATTAGAACATTATAGTGGGACCTACCTATTCCCCTCTATTTCAAGTAGCTAGAAAATTTTATTTCGTTATTGGAGCCGTGGCCAGCCTGGGATTCCGCTGTATGAAGAGAAAACCTTTATTTATTTTGTAATGATCATTCCAGATTAATAAACAACAATAACAACATCATCACTTCCACTGCTCACATTTATTAATAACCTGAAATTTGCTGCTTCAGCTACTGCTAGTAATAGAGCCTTGGATCACCACCAAATAATCATTGAATCCACCATTAGAGTACTTCATCAAGAAAATGGGATGCATATACAAGGACCCAAATGCCCCAGTCGAAACCAGAATCAAAGATCTCCTTTCCCGGATGACCCTCCAAGAAAAGATAGGCCAAATGACCCAGATCGAACGGAGCGTCGCCACGCCTTCCGCCATCAAAGACCGCTGTATAGGTCAATTAATGTAACATGATTATAGGAATATGTAGTAGTGTGTATGTATCGTGTGTGTGAATTTGTGGGTTTGTGTTAATTTGCAGGAAGTTTGCTGAGTGGGGGTGGAAGCAAGCCATTTGACAAGGCGAATTCGGCCGACTGGGCTGATATGATTGATGGGTTCCAGAATGCGGCGCTGGAGTCGCGTCTTGGCATTCCAATTATCTACGGGGTGGATGCGGTTCATGGCAATAATAATGTTTATGGAGCCACCATTTTTCCTCATAATATTGGTCTTGGTGCCACAAGGTAATGAGTTTTCCACCTGCATTTTGGCTCAACTGTATTTCATGCACCATTTAGCTATTGTGGAAAAATTCCTGCTTTCTTTTGAGAGTCAGAATAATCAATAAAGTAATTAGAAAATGGGCATATCATACACATATTATAGTGGTTCACCGAGTAAGGCATAGATAAATCTATAGTGATTATTTCAATGTGAAAGCCATATCTATCCACTACAGGACTAAGACTGAGCCTATCCACTACAGGTTTTACTTCAATGGAGAAGAATAATACATGTTCTTGCTCACATCTCTTGCACATCCAAAACGACCTCCTAAAAATCCTCTCTTTATTTATTGAATACTAGAATGTCCTAATAGATGTATGGGATAACTGTTACACGCCCCATGCTTGTACACACACTGATCCAGCAGCCAGGGACCAATTTTTCTCTAAAAAGGACAAATTTCTTCTAGTTATTTAGAAGCAATAAGTGTTAATTCCTTTGAATTGAGGTTTGCTAATGTGTTAACAAATCATTGCTGATATGTATGGAAATTACATAATGCAGAGATGCAGATTTGGTTAGAAGGATAGGGGAGGTAACAGCTCTTGAAGTCAGGGCAAGTGGTGCCCAATATGCTTTTGCTCCATGTGTTGCTGTAAGTATTACATTTATCAAGATACTGATTACTTGAGATTCTTATTTAACCCCTGTTTGGTTCGTATTAAAATCTCATTTTAATCTAAGTTAAAGTCAAACAATCAATATTAACCACATCTTTCATCGATCCCACAACTTTCAGCTACACTTTTCAAAAATTTCTTTCAAAATCTACTAAAACTCTAATTTTAATCTCCACCAAATGCCCTCTTAGCCCTACAAATTCTTTTGGATCTTCTGATTTGTGAAATGTTTTTGCTTTTTGGAAAATGTAAATTGTGAACCATGAGATTCTTGTGGTTATCTTATAAGGCAGGAGTAGTTTAAGCTGCCATACAAGGAAATATCAACTGGTTAGAAATTGACTAACTTCCTATGGAACTATTAAGGCTCATTTTTATGGTTTTGTCATGGTGCAATCTTCACATTTTGGATTTTTACATAACCTTGTATTTACTTTGGCTATTGTTTAAATTCATTTTAGTTGAAAGTTTTGTTTAGTTGTGCTTCAGTTTTAAACTTGAAATAATTTTGTGATGAGAATGATGGAGGATAAGCTAACATGGACCCATTGCATGTTTGGGATTGATACGGATCAATTAGAAGAGAAGATCCTAAATCAGTTAGAAAATGAAAGAAATATGAAGTCTGCGTAAAGACGTAAAGGATGATGCAAAAATGCGTATAACTTTCTGTTCAGCTATCAAACTTTCACGCATGAGTACAATTCAAAAA